TGTGTATATATATATATATATATATATATATATACACATATATATAATTTTGTTAATATATATATAATTTTGTTATTAAATTTTATTCAGGAGATTTTGAGGTTTATTTGTTTCAGATTTTTTGTTCGTGTTTGCTTTTGTTAGTTTCTTTGTCTTGTTTTTGCTTGGGTTTTTTTACTTGATTTTTTGGGGGGTGGGTAAAAGGTGGTGTTAGTACTGGGAATGGCATTCTTGTTGTGGAAAGGCCTTTGATCCATTAACTGGTCTGAAAATTAAGGACTGAGGTCTTAAACTGGCATTGGCATCAGCATCAGAAGCTGCCTGGGATCCAGTGGAAAGACAGGCCTGAAGTGCCATGGGGAAGACTGGCAGCTGTATGCTGTGCCAGCTGGAGCCTGTGCATCACCTTCACATTCTGCTTCATATATGGGGAGTTAAAGCAATCCAGCCTGACGGTAACAGATGCACAAATCGCTATGGGTAGGGCCTCATCTGAGAGGAAAGAAGAAAGTTTCCTAGCAAGATGGAGGTGAAAGAAGGCATTTTTATGCTCCCTGCTCATTCCAGCTTAGCAAGGAGTCAAACGGAGGAGAAAGCATTTCCTCTTTCTGACCAGGGTCACTTTGGTCTTGCCTGGAGTCAGCTGCTTCTCATCCAAGGGCTGATTTTCTGGAGGCAGTCTGACATGTTAGGAATGATTGTGGTGGCATCAGATGAGAATGATCTATATAGCTGAATGTCATCAGCATACTGCTAGCAGCTAAGCAGTCTCTCAATATCTTTCCCAATGCTTGCACATAGATATTGGATACGGGGTGTAGATTCATGCAGGACCACACAGGCTTTTGGAGAGGAGAAGCAGTTGCCCATCACCACTGTGAGTTCTGCTGGAGAGGAATGCCTGGAGCCGCTGTAGTATTGGGCCATCCTCTCCTGTGGTGTCATGCAGGCCAACTAGTAGTACTGGGAGGTCCTCCATGTTGCAAGCTGCAGAGATGTCTAGGACATGAGCATGGAGCTCTTACCTGGCATCTTTCTTGACACAGGAAGGAAATTATTTGACAACTCCTTAACTGTATAATTCCCATATTTTATGGCATTATGTTGTTTTGTTTTGTTTTGTTTTAATTTATTAGAACAACCTTAACTGAACAAAAATGTTTTTTTGCCTATGAAGTATGGTATATGGATTGTATTTTTCAATACCCCCTAACAGATTTAGACACAGATTTAGACAAGTTCCATTGAAAATCAATGGAACTTGTGGTCCCAAGTCACTTAGGAACTTCTGAAAATTTTTCCAATAGTGTTTAATTATATGATCACATATAACATGCACATTCATTATGGCATTTCCTGACTTGAATGTTGGACAGTACATCTGTAATGTTCTGACAACACAGACCTGTGTATGTGCAAAAAAAAGATGAATCCCACTCTTCAAAACTTTGAATTTTCCATCACTGGCAACTTTCAAATTATACCAGTTGTTTTCTTTAAAAGACCAGCTCTAGTTCAAACAGGAATTGTGTGGGGGAAGTTCTCTGCCCAGTGTTACACAGGAGGTCAGACTAAATGACCACAGTGGTCCCTTCTAGCGTATGAATCTATGACTCTATTGATTTTCAAATTAAATTCAGCAATAAAAATATCACATTTTGCATTCACATACAGGTTGCTGATAAAGAATTGTCAGTGTGAACAGAAAGTTATATGGTCATGCTGCAAATTTCAAACTGGTTGGTTAGATCCAGATTATCACAGTACCTGCATTATTAATCAGTGAAACAAAGGAAGGGAAAACAATCAGATAAAGTGTATTTTTTATTAAATAAAAAATGAATATGGAGTTGTTTTAACCTCTCGCTTGCATTTACTTTGTAATGGAATGTCATGGGCTTTTTAACTTGTTTTTCTTTCTCTCTCTATTAATATAAAGGACCGGATTTTGTCACTTTTCTCGTTCTGTCCATGTAGCCCATGTAAGAAAGAAAATCAACAAGCAGATCGTTCAGGTAAGGGAGACTGCATGATGCATGATTCTGAATGTGGGTAAATTACTAGAATGTAAATGAAGCTGAAAACAGCTGTTTGCTGATGCTCCATATTCGCACTAGTGCAGAACGTCCTGCTGAACTTGTATTCAAAAGCTGGTTTATTTGCTTTCTCCATTACCTGTTCGTTGCCAATTTTCTCCAATCAGATGGAGGACCAAAGTGTGATGTAATCACTCCAGGTCTCCCAAGTGAAAAGTGCACTTGGGTGTGACTATTTGTGGCCATTTAATCATACTGTTTCTTATGAACGTCCCACTGTAGATTGGACTTTAACAAGTCCAGTCAAGACATCAACCTGCATCCCATAAACGACATCACTGGTGTCTGATTTGTAGTGTCATGGGCTGCACTCCTATAGGCCAATAATATTTTTGCAGTTTTGCGCTAGAAGCTGCCTTTATCCAGGATCACTTGCTTGAATGTCTGAATTAATCTTTCTACTAAACCATTATGGCAGGATGGAAAGGAGTTGATGGCGTAGCTGGTGGCATATTTGATACTATGTTTTTGACAAATAGTTGGAATGCTTTGGATGTGAATTGAGTCTAATTGTCATTTATGATGTGTTCAGGAACTTCTGTCCTTGAGAACGAGTCTTAAAGCTCTCACCCTCTGGGCTGAACTAGTTGAATTCACATAGAATAAATCAGGCCATTTAAAATTGTTCCTTCTACTGTCAAAAAAATGCTTCATAAATGGTCCCGTGTTGTCTATATGGATTTTCTGCTGGCAGGGTAGTTGGTCACTCCCAAGGATATTATGGAGCATGTTTAGGCCTGAATTTCATTTGATGACAATCTTGACATTGTTTTGCTATTTCCTCTATTTGTGCAACAATCTTTGATGACCACACACAGCTCCTGTCAAGGTATTTAATTTTTGCAATATCCAAATGGCCTTTGTGTAATTCTTTTAGTATGTGTGACTCATTGCAATAGCATGCATTTTAGCGCCTACTGGATCATTTTTAGTTTTATGTTGTACCATAGGATTTGTCATTGGGAAGGGTTCAGTTTGCACCATATAGAACATATTGACTGTCTCTGATTCCACATCAGAATTCATACCTACCTCTTCCAATGTCCAGGGTGAAAAGTGAGCTGTATTTGCATGTTGGTTGTTAACCTTGAACTGAGTGCCAAGAATATCACCCATGTTTGTAACCAAGCCTCAGTCATTGCCAGGATTCCTTTCTTTGGATTAATAATTGAAATTAGCTCTTGGCACTCTATAACCAGTCAATCATTTCCAATACAGAGATTGGGGAAACTGTCCAACTACCCAGACTAAACTCAGAACGTAGTTCCGTTCTGCGACCGTGAGAGATCTAGAAGCAAAGACAGTCAGTCTTTGAGTACAATCTTTCCTCACTGCTCCCATTGCATAACTTTGCAGGTAAAGATGTTCTGTAGTGAGTAAGGAACATTTTAGAGGATATGAGCTTCTTGGCCTCAGTAATAGGCTTGATGCACTGTGTGGACCAACAACATTTCTGTCCATTGTGTCACAGCTCATTTAGGAGCTATAACACTGTTTCTGTATTAGGCAAGAATCTGTGGTAATAGCTGATCAGCCCCAGAAAATGGTGTCATTGTGATACATTTTGTGTTTGGGGCACCTTAAAGACAGCTTCAGCTTTATCTTGCAATTTATGCAAACCACCTTTATGGATGGTATGGCCACAATATATAATTGATTCAGTGTGTGTGTCAGTGGGGGGAGGGGGACCACATACATTTTCCGGAGTTTGCTCTGAGAACTATACTCAGACAGTGCCTTTAGGAGGTTTCCAAGGTGCTTTTTGCCATTAGTGCCAATAGAGTGACCAGATGTCCTGATTTTATAGGGACAGTCCCGATATTTGGGGCTTTTTCTTATATAGGCTCCTATTACCCCCCACCCCCTGTCCTGATTTTTCACACTTGCTGTCTGGTCACCCTAAGTGCCAATGACCAGTATATTATCTAAGTAACACTGACTAGCAGGAATGCCATGTAACACCTGGTCTATGACTCACTGCCAAACAGCAGGTGTGGACATTAATCTAAACACCAACCTTTTATATTGGAATAAGCTCCTGTCTGTGTATTTCTTGTCACTGCCTTCAATCTTCAATAGGTTTGGGCTTGGTCAGTCTTGGAGAAATGCCTCCTACCAGCTAATGAAGCAAGTATATCTCTAGTCTAGGTAAAATATACTGATCCTCAGTCAATACTGAGTTAATGGAAACCTTGAATTCACCACAGATATGGACATGCAAATAGGTCTTTATTACATCACATACATTTCTCTATATCTGTGCATTGTTTGGGGAAATAGATGATACTTTGCGTTGGAAAAGCTGCTTCAGCATCACTGCAAAGGTATATTGACCACAAGCTCCCGTAGGAGATGTCTGGTAGGATCTAGGCCCAGTTGGGTTCTAAGGAACACGTTTATCAATGTGGGGATTGTGGTGGTGATCTAGAGACCCAATTGGAGAGTGGTTGGGTTGCAGAATCCCATCTCCGAGCAAACTGGAGGCATGGGGTATACCAATTTATGTCTTCTTTCTGCCTTTATTCCCTTCACTCTTGCTTAAAAAGAAAAATTAGAATTACAGAAAAGTAGTTTTTCCTTTGGAACCATTGCAGGTTTGCTCTGTGTTCACACCAGTGCTGTTTTGAACTGTTTCAGTTGCAATTCTCTCTGGTTACCTGTCATACAGTTCCCAAAACACCCTCAACCAGCAATGGATTCTGAGAGATTATAAAAGGGCCTGGAAAAGGGGCTTAAGAAGGTGCAGCCTGCCTTGGGACCATGACACACACTAATGGATCCTGATGTTGGCTCAGGACCTTTATTTGTCGGCATATTAAAAAAATGTGCATCCCCTATGCTAAAATATTTTTTTTTTGTCCTTTTTCAGTACCATTGACGGTGAGTAATGGTAAGTTTATCCATTGCTGGAATTTACATCCAGAGCTCCAGTGTAGACATAACCTCTGAGTGTAAATAGTCTCTTCAGAAGATTTGTATGCTCTGCACATTAGCACTTTCATCCTACCTTTGGCTACGAGTATTGAGTCACAAGAGGAATTCTTTCAGTAGTGTGAATGCTGCAGGCAATTATGAGGCAGTTCAGAACCCCAAAAATATACTCATAATCCATGAAGACATGAAGTATCTGGAGATCGTCTGAGCTGAAGAGGTGAACAGGGTCAGCAATGCAGATTACATATTGTTGAGAGAGATAGACAGTAGGGTTTTAGGAGATAAGTTAGAAATTTTGGCCTAAGGTGCTAAATAAATGACTTCCTCTCTCCTGCCAGCACCACCCTGTGAGACACCAAGCCCTTGGTTATTCCCCTGGAGAAGTGCGGTTCTCTACCCCCAGTTCATGTATGCTCCATGCTAAAAGCACAAATCTAAGCCTCCATTCATAATTACTTTGAAAAAGTGCATATATTGAAATGGTCTTTGATTTTGTTTTGTTTTGTTTTTAAGAGGAACTCCAGAGGACAAATGGTGAGTTTTCACATATTTATTATTTTAGTTGTATTATTTTTAATTATTAGGGAAGCACTTCTCATGGTTCCATAGCAAGGACTGAGTTGAGTTTTGCACCTAAAGCAGGGATTCAGGCACTTTGTTACTGATCAGTTTGATTTAATCTACAAACACTACTGTGAACTGCAGAAATTATGGATATTCCATAAAAACATCAGTACAGGTTGGATTTAAGGTTTTTGGTTGTCTTAACTCTACATTTTCATCCTTTGGCATGTTTGGATTTCTCTTAAATTAAACCTAAACTCTTTATTTATTAGGTTTGCAATGATTGTTTGGGGATTATGGCATTCCTGTAATGTATTAAACTACAGATATAGCTACTTTTCTTCTTTACTCCAGTTCAGCAGTGTTTTATTTGGGGGGGAGCTCTGTTTTGGCCATGTTGAGTTTAAACTGACATCTGGACATACAAAATGAAAAATCAGAGAGGTACTGAACTCTGGGGTACAGATGTGGGGACCCCCTAAGATTATTTTTACCAGCTTAGGTTAAAAACTTTCCCAAGGTGCAAATTCCACCTTGTCCTTGAACAGTATTCTGCCACCACCAAGTGATTTAGACAAAGAATCAGGGCAAGGACCACTTGGAGTCCTATTCCTCCAAGACCTACACCCCCTTTCCTGGGGAAGGCTTGAGACTAATATCCTCAACAATTGGTACAGGTGAACACAGACCCAGACCCTTGGATCTTAAGAACAATGAAAAATCAATCAGGTTCTTAAAAGGAGAATTTTAATTAAAGAAAAGGTAAAAGAATCACCTCTGTAAAATCAGGATGGTAAATACTTTACAGGACAACAAAAGATTCAAAAACACAGAGGCTTTCCCCTCTAGGCAAAACTTTAAAGTTACAAAACAGGGATAAACC